AGTATCAGGGAATTCATTTCCTGAAAGGTGGTCACCATGTTAAAGTCCTCTTCAAAATGCTAGAGAACCAACTCAGTTTTCTGCCAGGAAGGTCTTTAGAAGACCTTAGCCCCTGGTCTCTTTCATTCATATTGGACAGAGCCCTAGGCAAAAAAAAATGTCTCTTCATCCCTCCATTCTTTCCATTGCAGAAAGAATGATCAGTTAAGGCTCCAGGGTCCTGACCCAATCATACTGTCCACTTGTGTGCTGCCCTTGAAGACAAGGATGGGCACTGTGAGTTCAACATGTAGGAGAGCAGTAGAGTCAGATGTTGAGTTAATTTTAAATCTGACCCAGTTACAGAAGAAGGGGAAATTCATGAGGAGTGGAGATTAAAAAGGAGAGCTACTCTGGAAAGAAAGATGGCGGCCGCACGGGAGCCTTGTGGACAGCAGGTTTGAGCCGGGGTTGGGGGCGGCAGGGACCTCATGGGAAGGGGGTCGTCCTGGGCCGTCCTTCATGCCCGACCGAGATCACCAGCTGCCCCCCACGAGCGGCTCTCCGGCACGGCCACGGCCCCGGAGGCACAAGGACTTAGCACAGAGAGCCACCGGCTTGGGGCAGAAAAGCAAATGGACTATGTGTTAAACCGCGCCAGCATGCCTGCCCGGAGGGGAAAGGGTGTTGTGTCATTCGCCCAATCCTCTCTGGAAAGAAAGATGGCGGCCGCACGGGAGCCTTGTGGACAGCAGGTTTGAGCCAGGGGTGGGGGCGGCAGGGACCTCATGGGAAGGGGGGCGTTCTGGGCTGTCCTTCACGCCCGACCGAGGTCACCAGCTGCCCCCCACGAGCGGCTCTCCGGCCTGGCCACGACTCCAGAGCACAGAAACCAATCTCTTAACTATCTTTTAATAGAAATACTTCCAGGGTTAATAAGTAAAATAGCAGAAATCCAAAACCATTTTATTCTTAAACCCAGCTGTAGAAAGCAAATCATTTCACAGTGCTGTTTCAGCATGTCTGATTGGGGGGGGGGGGGGGGGTCGTAAACTCTAAACAATATTTGTGCATCTTCTACGAAACAATGTATCTAGTCAAAGTAGATAGAGTATTAACTAGAACTCATCTGCCTCACAGGAATTGGGAGGGGTGGGAGGTGGGGTTCTATTGGGGTTCGTGGTTAAAAATAAGTATTGGTAAAGGGAAATGTGTTTGATATTTACATGACTGAGACCTAAACCCGAAAGCTCTGTAACTTTTCCCACAGTGATTCAATAAAGAAATAAATTATTAAAAAATTTTAAAAAAAAAAGGAGAGCTAATTTTTCTTTTTAATCACCTATTTTAGGTCTTACCTATTCCATACTCCTACCAGAACCTGACTTCTAGATTATGTTACAAAAGTTCCTTTCTCAAATCTGCAAGGGTACTGGAAACACATCTAAAAGCCTGGGAACTGGCAACTGGCTGTTGGCCAGAGCTTTATAAATATTAAGGACAAAGAATCTGAAGTAGAGGAAAGAAGTGAAGTTAGAAGACCTAGAATACAGTATAATACAGTAGTTCCAAAACTTCTTCCACATTTCCACAGGATAGTGACAACTGATCTTACTCTGAAATTGGAGGGTCCTTCAGCACCTCCAAAAACTAAGGGAAGGTAAAACCTAAGCTAATGCATTGGTCATAAAGGGGTCTCATAATGTTCATAATGAAACTACACAACTGACTTTGTCCTAAGAAGTTTCTAGAAGAGGATTTAAAGTTGAGTGGAATCACTATGCATTCAAGTGGCACCCAAGATTTTCTAGTCTGTAATCCATTGTATAAAGGGTGATCTATTCTTGTAATTTCATGGTAAATGAAAAAAACCATAGAGGTGGTATAAATTAATCTCTGAGAAACATATTTAGAGGTATTGGTGGCAGCTGCATTAATAAAAGTGGAAAAAAATTTGAGTCAATTCACAATAATACGAATCCTTTCTGTACTATTACCCCAGGCCAGTACAGCAGATAAATGTTCCTATCATGTTCTCTATGTCAAAGAAATTTTCCCCAAGCTTTTTTTTAAGATTATACAAGTAATTTATCAGAAAACAATAGGTAAAATATAACAAATACACAATTTGGTGTGCTTTTACTTTCTTAAGAGGTATCTTTGGTCAGGGAATACATGCTTTTCATGTGCAAGGACCCAAGATTGTTTTCAGACATTTTTCTATTCTCCGTGTTTTCTAGAGATGTACTGCATCTCATGTTGGAACACCTTGATTTTTTTCTTCAGTTGCTGTTATTCTGCTGCTCAGACCTTCTATTTTCTTTACATCACAGAGCATACTCTTCATTTCTCTCATTGTTGGTTGTATTTTTCTCATTTTGACTTCATTATTATCTTGTGCTTTGCTCTCTGTACCATTGTTTCTTTCTGCTCACTCAACCTTCTTCATGGCTCTAAATCTACTTCTCTTACCTTCCAATGCTCCATGCTTCCATCAGTGGGTGAGAGATCACGATTTACTTCTAAGTAACTCTTCTTCTACATCTCCCCATTTAGTAATCCTAGGACCACCTACCAATCTCAAAGTCTCCTAAACTTTTCTTCTCAGGTGCAGGTGCCTTCTGTCCCAAATATCCTGGAAAATGCTAACTCTCAGTATAAATATTTAAAATAGTTAAGATCAGAAATACTAAAGCCAAACTACTTTAGTGTCTTAACTATTTACTAATTGTACCAACTTGAGTAAGTTATATATTTTCGTTGTGCCTTAGCTCTTAGTCCGGAAAACAAAAAAAAATGAACCTATTATAAATGGAAGTTGTAAGGATAGAACTCAGAACAGAACCAGTACATAAAAACTCTATATGGATTGTCAGCTTATGGAGAATTAAATTACAGTAATTCAAAGACTTCTCTGACTCCTCAACAAGGAAAAGCTCTGTGTTCCCTATATATGTAATACTGACTTGAATTAACACAGTTACTTAATAGTCCAACAACTGTTTGCATTACTATGTCCACTAGACTATGAATTTCTGTGTCCACTAGACTATGAATTTCTTAAAGGCAGCAGTATTGTTATTGCCCTAGTAGTCTCATCATGTGGCAAAGAATCAGACACAAAAAAAATTCAGTTAGTCTGCTATAACACTGATTTCTTAAATGCAAATTTGTTCTAACCAGTTCCTATATTAGGGAACAGAACATGATATAAATGTCATGTTTGCTTACAGGAGGTTCCACCTGTAGCAAATTAAATAAGCCACACCCAGTAAACCTGTATGAAAAACACAGAAGTATGCACACATACATATACCTCAAACATTGATCAGCTACATTAGGTCACTACTCCTTCTAAGCCACACCCTGGTATTAAACAACATTTGACCCCAGAACACATTTGTCTCACATTAATTCATAAACTGATTCCAAAACTCACTTCTACTATGAAAGCCAGATCCTTTTTGAAGTGTCACATTTATATAACTTCTAACCATGTAAGATGGAGGCTGGGGAGATAGTATAGCAGGCAGGGCACTTGCCTTGCATGCAGTCAACCTGGTTTAATCCCCATCATCCCATATAGTCCCCTGAGCACCACCAGAAGTGATCCCTGACAGAGCCAGGAATAGCTTGAGCACCACCAGATGTGGGTCAGATCAAAAAAATAAAATGTTTAAGATACCATTCTTATAAGATTTATAATCTAATTTGCTCGGCACATTCAGTGTTGAAATTCTCTTACCATTTTCCCTATAAGCCCCATATTTTATATTCTCCTGTCAAGTGGGGTGATTTATAAGATGTGTCTGTTAAGGAAAAAAATTGCACTCAGTGGACTTATGGTTGATGGTGAATAATTCATCTCCATGGAAACCTAAGATTCCTAAAACTGTAGGAGTCCCTGCTAATCACCACTTTGGGAGGCAAGAAGTTCTGCCCCACAATTAAAAGCATCAAATATTTATTCTTAGATTACTGCATGGCAGGCATTGTGATGAGCAGTAGAGGTAGTGTGACTAATTAAGCGCTGTCTATAATCCCATCTAGGGAAGAGAAACTAGTAATCACAATTGAGGGGGATGGATGCTACTAAGGAATAAAGCAAGGTCTTCTCTCCCAGACTTCAGTCAGCTAAAATCTCCCTTAGTCAATCTCTTTCATTGTTGCCCCATCTTGGCCTTCTGACCCGGCTTTCTGAGTTACTGGACCTGCCAGCACTGAGCAGAGGCAGAATAGGGAAGAGTTAAATGTGGCGCAGGTGGGAGGGCCCTGAGGGAAGCAGGCAGAAAAGCCACTTAAGAGGACCCACAGGCCCTGATCGAGCTGAAGAGGAGCTGCTAACAGAGTACACAGAAACTTTCTCAAGTCCGTTCAAGCTTTCTCCCTCAGCGTTGATCATGTTTCTGCCATATATTTAATTGAGACGAATCAGTTCGACTTGCCCTGCCTCCTGCAACATTAGGGATGCTTCTTCCTCATAAGCAGGTACTCCTGATTGCATGCCATTTCCTCCCCCTCTGTCACAGTACTCATACTAAACCCCCAACAAGACTCTAGTTAGACCCAATTCTGGATTGTGAGGAAGGAAAAGACATGTCATTTTTTATTATTCATTTTATTATTGGGGGGGGAGGGAGGAAGCAGAGGGAGGGTGCTTCCATCTCTTTTTCTTCATTGTTTTCCAAATTCAACTCTCTAGACAGCATTCAATTTCAGCGTTAAGTTTTCCTATGACATCAGACTTCCCGCTTTATTCCAGATCCCATCTGCCTCTCCCTGCCCTTTATTTTCTCCTTCTCTCTACTATCCTTTCTTCTTTGAGGGTTTGTGTCCTCGAGCAACAATAAAGATCATGTGCCCATCCCCGCTGCAGAGTTGAAAAAGCCCAGAGGTCCTGCCTAACGATACATAGAGACAGGACCAGCTTGAAGCCTGACTCTGACACAGAACTGGCTTTTCCCCCATCTAGAGACTAAGGTTGACCCTATGTGGACCTGAGAAGAAACAAGCTGTCATCTCAACTCCATTCTCAATTGACCTCATCTGGAGAGCAACCAGCCTCTGCAACAGTGACCCTTAGCACCTCTGCCCAAGACCACTATTTCCCTTTCTTATGGACCTTCAACGGACTCTCTCATCCTAGGTAGTACTACAGCCTTGACTACTGATCCAAAAGTCAACTAACGGCTATAATCCTTTTACCTCCCCAAACCAGCATTACCCCTATACTTTCTCCATGCATGGGTTTGTGCCACTGTGACACCCTCCCAACCTCTCCCTTTGTCTTTCCTCTATCAGGAGCTGTGCCTCCATGAATCCCAATCCTTTACCTCTACCACCACCAACATATGGCAGAAGTTCCACTGCTCAACATCACCCTGTCAAACCCAACCTTCTTCATTTTAACTGGCATTCCAGGACTGGCAGGTACCCAGGTCTGGCTCACCTTGATCTTTGGGCCCATGTATTTGCTGGCCCTACTGGGCAATGGAGCACTGCTGACAGTGGTACAGACAGACTCTGCACTGCACCAGCCCATGTTTCTCCTCCTAGCCACACTGGCCGCCACAGACATGGGCTTAGCCACATCTATAGCCCCGGGATTACTGGCTGTGCTGTGTCTGGGCCCCCGGACCATACCATATGTTGCCTGCCTGGCCCAGATGTTCTTTGTTCATGCACTGACTGCCATGGAATCCGGGGTACTGCTGGCGATGGCCTGTGACCGCGCTGTGGCAGTGGGGCGTCCATTGCACTACTCTGTCCTAGTCACCAAAGCCCGGGTGGGCTATGCAGCCCTAGCACTGGTACTGAAAGCTGCGGCTATTGTCATACCTTTTCCTTTGCTGGTGGCACGATTTGAGCACTTCCGAAAAAAGACCATCAACCACGCATACTGTGAACACATGGCAGTGGTGGAGCTGGTGGTGGGTAACACACGAGCCAACAACTTGTACGGGCTGGCACTCTCTCTGGCTGTGTCAGGTGTAGATATTCTGGGCATTGCTACCTCCTACGGGCTTATTGCCCATGCTGTTCTGAAGCTACCCACCCGGGAGGCCCGTTCCAAGGCCTTTGGTACATGTAGTTCTCACATCTGTGTCATTCTGGCCTTCTATGTGCCTGGTCTCTTCTCCTACCTCACACACCGCTTTGGTCGACACACTGTTCCAAAGTTCATACACATCCTTCTCTCTAACATCTATTTGCTGCTGCCACCAGCACTCAACCCTCTCATTTATGGCGCTCGAACCAAGCAGATCAGAGAACGGATACTAGAAACCTTCATCTTCAGAAAAAAAAAGTTCTAGTTGGCAATTAAAAAAAAAATGGAAGATGAGGATAAAGAATGGAAAATGTTCTGAAGAGTTGGGTTTGGAGGAATGAACTGCTATCTTTCTCCTGTTATCTACATCTGACTATGGTAATTCTTAATAGATATCTACTGTGAAGTCACTATTATGAATATCACTGGCTGATCAACCTCTTTATCTTTCTTAGGAGACAGCAGAAGGTAGGGGCTTCATGATCCATACAAGAACACTATCATGGGTTTATTATACATGCTATGGATGGTTGGTTGGTTGTTGCCTTCCTCCCTGACTCCCCCACCCAATAGTCACCATTGGTACCAGGACTGAACCCAGACTTCATACATGCAATTACTAGCTTCATTCTTAAAAATATACTAGATTTGACTTAAACTACTGTGTTTTCAAAACTCTGGCGGTGTTCTATCTCTCTCGCCGCCTGCATTCGGTGGTCTCAGGCCACTTCCCCCACCCGGAGGAGGTCGATGGTGATGGGCAGGAGAAGGAAGGAACGAGGGCCTGGCTGGTCGGTATCAATTGTAGCTTATTCCAATCTTCACTCCCCTTCTGCTTCTCTCTCTCAAGCCTAAGCCCCTCTCACTTCTGACTCTGCCCTCTGGAGCCCGAGCCCCGTCTAAGCTTACAGTCTTAGTTTATATAGCAATCAATCACGTAGGGTGGTGACACAAAAGTGGGTTGAACATTAACAAATCAACAAAGAGAGGTAAGACCACTCCTCCAGGAGATTAACTCAAGGAAAAATATCATCTAAAAAGATTACTACAGATTACTAGGAGATCCACTCAAGGGTGGGATCCCAGCAGGGGTGTGTTCTTTCCTCAGCCAGTAATTTAAATAGTTGCAGTAAATCTACTTCTAATATTTCTAGCAATGTCATTCTGTATGAGCACAGTAAGAGATATAAACTTACAGTTTGGTTCTTCCTGAGAAGAATATATCTCACTATATATTCCGCAGTCCTTCAGGCCAGGTTAGTCTTCCTAGCCCCAGCAGGGTCCTAGTCTCATTGTTACTTACTTTTGGATCATGACAGCATTTGTCCATGATCATGCCCTCAACTTATAGTTGAGTACTGTGGCGCTTTGGCCTGGCCCATTTCAATGCCAGGGTAGCTCACAGCTTGCCCTGGGTCCATTCAGTCCTTCGTTGGGACCCTGCTTTTGGGGCGCTAGGAACTAAGGGCAACTCAGTCAAGAAAGCAGATGCCCAGGAGTAAATATTATTCAAAGTCAATCAACTCCCAAGTTATAAAGCATTTAATATTATCTTCCTGTGTCCATACAGAAAGGACATTGTTTTAAGGTAAACTTTTCAAAAAACATAAGGAGAGGAGAAAGGCAATATTAACTTGTAATATAAGTTCAGTGTCCTAGAAAGATCTAACCTTACAAATTAACAGAATCTGATTAGGGGAATAAGCTGATTAACAGTTTGGGGAAGAGAACATAAAGTAGTAGTTACAAATTAAAAAAAAGAATGGGAGTGACTCGGGAGCACTGGGATGGGTGTGACCTGATAAACCTAAGCTACCTGAGGAAGGACAAAACAGTGTTATCCTACAAACTACTACATATCATTTTATTCTGTCTGTCCATGCTCTCACATAACAGCTTACCTAAGAGGGGCTGGAAAGATATTACACCAGATAGAGCATTTGTCCTGTATGCAGTACACCTGGGTTCAATCTCCAGCACCCCTGTAGTCCCCTAAGCCTTCCAAGAATGACCCTTGAGCACAGAGCGAGTAAGCCCTAAGCACTTGCAGGTGTGGCCCCAAAAGAGCAACAATTCTAGGATTAGAAGTCTTGTTAAAGTGGCTTTCCTGTCTGTAGGCAAGGTACTTGTTTTGTTCTTGTTTGAGATCATATCACTGTAGCACTGTCCTCCCCGTTGTTCATCTATTTGCTTGAGCGGGCACCAGTAACATTTCTATTGTGAGACTTGTTGTTACTGTGTTTGGTATATCGAATACGCCACAAGGAGCTTGCCAGGCTCTGCTGTGTGGGTGGGCTACTCTCTGCAGCTTGCCGGGCTCTCCGAGAGGGACAGAGGAATCAAACCGGGTTCGGCTGCATGCAGGGCAAACGCCCTACCCGCTGTGCTATCGCTCCAGTCCTCTCTATTCCTGCAGCCGGATTGTTTTGGGTTTGTCCTTCGAAAAGAAGTATACTTATCCCCTACATTCTGAGAATATGGCCTGAGTGTCCTGGGGTTCCTAATTAAGCCAGGACTAAAATTTAAGGCATTTCTAGTTCTGATATTCCTCCTGTTCTCATTTGTAGCAACTATACTCCCAACCCCACGCCCCAGCCAGTCTTAAAATTAATCGTTAGTGGTTGGAGAGATGATACAATGGGTAAGGCACTGGCCTTCATGTGGTCAACTCAAGTTCAATCTCCATAACCACATGTCTCCCCAAGTACCACAGTAGTGATCCCTGAGTACAGAGCCAACCCTAAGCACAGCTGGATGTGGCCCCAAAACCAAAATAAATAAATATTAACAGGTAGAACATCTTCCCTGAGTTTGTATCTTCCAAACTCAGGGATTCTGATCCAAAAGAATTTTTATATCCTAGAAATCTTGATAAAAGGCCCTCCCGTTGATCGTCGATTTGCTCAAGCGGGCCCAGTAACGTCTCCATTGGAGACTTTGTTGTTACTGTGTCTGGCATATCAAATACTCTCGGTAGCTTGCCGGGCTCTCCAAGAGGGGCGGAGGAATCGAACTCGGGTCGGCCATGTTGGCCGCTTGTAAGGCGGACGCCCTACCCGCTGTGCTATCGCTCCAGCCTATTTGCCTGAAGTCCAGTTACTATGATCTATTATCAGTCTGTTCTCTTGTGTATCTTCAGCCAAAACTATAGCATTAATAATTAAAATCCTCATCTACACGTTCATTCTACCCTCCTTTGTCCTGGTCAACATCACTAGAAGAAACACCTGCTGTTGGGGCAATATGGTGAAATAGGAGTGTTTCACACTGTTGAGGTTGCTAGAGAACAGAGACATTAAACAGGAAGTGGCATGGTATCGCCCAACAAAGGAGTCACTTTTATCTAAGACTCCAAGTTAGAAAAAACACTGCATAAAAGATCTTTCATATCAACGTAAGTCCAGAATGAATCAAATCAGACAAAATGTTGTCACTCTTATGAGGTTAGAGAAAGTTGCAGACTACACAAACTCTCTGGAGAAACAATCCCAACAACAGAGATTAGGCATGAAACCTGAAGGGCAGCCCATGACCCTCAGCAGGTAGCTTGGCCTGTACCATGAGATACCACACAGAGAGAACACTGGTACACCTGAAAGAGCAGGTGACACCATCCCCTGGGCCATATGGAAGGTCCCCATTAGCAAGGAATTGATGAAAGCAGAGCTGTCACACTGAAGTCAACTGGATGAGGAGAAAATCTGCTTTTCCTCTATCTAAACGTGAGTCATTCTCAAAACTAAGCTTTGTTCCAGAAGTTCTGAGTTAAAAAAAAAAAATGCATGTATGCATGCATGCATGCACGCATGTATGTATGTATGTATGTATGTATAAAATAAACCTACAGGAAACAATTTCAATAATTTTGTAGATACTATCACAATATTATAACCCTAGTGGGTTCTCATGTCTTTAAGATGTCCAAGTTCTTCTTTTGATGATCCTTCTTCAATAAATCTATCCTGACAAAACAGAGATGGGAACAAAGATGTACACAGTATAATATTTATTACATCATAGAGATATGTTGTGAAGAAATATATGTCTGACAGTCCTGTGTTACACATACACACATGGACACCATTTTTTTTTCTTTCCCTTCTGGTTCCTGAAAAGGGCAATCATATGCAGTCAATGTCAATAAGCAATGCATTGTCACCCTCTCACCACAGGAATTCCTCTTCTAAGGCACCTTCACTCCCTGATATGTACAACTCCCCAAGGTAGATGCTTCCAAAACTGTACAATGTTCATCATACTATGATAGGAGTTTTCTTCCTTGAAGACAAAAATTCACCCCTTGAACACCTATATTTTCTTCTCGATTGAAGCTACATACACACTATGTGACATATTGAGAAGGTTTTGCCAGCACTCTCTTGCTTCTCTCATACCAACCTGAGGACAATTATAAGCCCCTAATCTCTTAGTTACATTTTCAAAATTAAAATTTCCTTAGAGGATCCAGGGAGCTAAGTTTATGTAGTAGAGCATACTCATAGAGCCCTGAGTTTGATTCCTGGCACCATCTGGACCCCTGAACACAGATGGGTTGGCCGAAATAGCCTCCAGAGCACTGTCAGGTAATTTTCATTGCTGGGAGTAAACCCTACAAAATATCACCAAAGAAACAGTAGGGTTTTTTTTTTAATATAACTGATCAACCAAGGCCTGATCAAAATTACCATAATGTTATTAATAGCTTTATCCCAGTGTGAATATTAATATATGTAGCCACAGAAATGTTGATGTGCTTGATAATAGGGCACTACCCTATCTCAACATATTATAAAAGCACCTTATTTCCTTCCTAGAACCCTAAAAGTTCTAAATTTATGTTTATCCAGAAGCTTTCAAATAAAGGAATAGAGAACTATACAATTATTCCTGAGAAAGGTGACGAGGTTTGTTAGGTCTCTTGTCACTCTGAAATCTTTACTATTAACATTATTCTATACTGCTCTGGAGGTTCTTGCGGAGAGCTCAACTTCTCTGGATAAACAGCCTCTGCCTATTCCCTCATGGTCTCCTCTCAGGTATACTACAGATGGTATGTGCCTTTTTCCCAGGGAAACACAGTGATGTCATATTGGAGGCAGTTCCCCTGAACAGAAGGTGGTCCAAATAGCCCAACCCTTGGGCTCCTCAGCTTTACCAAGCATTCAGTTACCTTGTTTTCTTTCAGCAACTTTAAGTCTCAAACACTGAGTACATGGGAGTATGGTGCTGCCAGCAGGTCAATCTGTACCTGTGAGGCGAGTGCAT